TAACTGAGCCAGTGGGGGGCCGGGTCCAGCCCAGGCAGAGGCCTGAGCCCTTGTCTCCAGCACAGCAGCAGGGAAGGAAGGAAACACCCTTGGAGCCTGACGCACAACTAACTGGACACATCGAAGGCCCCGTCCCCTTCACATCAGCCCTTCCAATTGGTAATTGCTCCTAATTTGACAAACAAGAAAAATGGGGTTCAGAGAGGTGGCGTAACTTTCCCAAGGCCACACAGCTCAGCTGTGGCAGACCCTGTCTGATTCCAAAGCTTAACCTCTGTCCCGAGTGTCGCAGGGTGCCAGGAACCAAAGGGCAGCGGCTGTGTACTCACAGGGGGCCCGGCCTCCTGCAGCGACGCTGACCGGACCTGCGGCTTGGTGACATCGCCCCGGGTCACTGGAAAAGCCAGACAAGAAAGCAAAGCCCGACTGTAGACGATTATAAAGGGAATCGTTTGGTTTTGCATCCCCGAGACCACACGTCCACCACCTCCATCCTTTCACGCAGGGAATACTGCTGGGGCTCCTGTGGCCTACCGGACCCCGCCCCAGTGCTCGGGTCACAGCAGTGACCGAAACTGGAGCAGACATTCCAGTGGGGGATGGGTTCGTCCGTGCAGAGAAGGAAATGTCCAGGGTGCAAATCCCGACTTGGGATCCGAGCTAACAACTTCTTCGGGGTTTAGTTTTGGTTTTCTCGTCCGTCAGTGGGATATGAACAGTGCTCCGCGTGTGTGACAGAGAGAGGGGATGGGTGGGGGCGGTGAGGAGACTCATCTGGAACATTAAGTTCCTGCTGTTGATACAATTTTGTCTTATGAACTTTATCGATGGGGGAACATTCAAATCTGTACAAATCCGTAGAGAATTTTTGCAACTCTTTATTTGAGTCAGAGGATGTTCCCGGAAGCAAGGTCTCTGCAGACTGAGTTAACGGAGGGAAGCCAGGCAGGGGTCTGCTCACAGGGCAGTGAGGGGAGCATGTGCTTTTGGAAGGAGGGGCCTGAACAGAGACCTTTCAGAGGCCTGTTGACCTGGCTGCACAGAAACAACAGGCCTTGCTTAAGGCAAAGAACATGAAGAAGGAGTATGTCTGGGCTGTGACTATCCACCATGACCTGGCCAGTGAGGAATTTATAGTCAGATTGTCCTGTGAGATAACTTCACAGAGAAACCCTTTTCCATCCTCATCTTGAACTTCCTTGGGCCCACAGCAGATGTGGGATCCGGGTCCCCTTTCTCCGTGACTGGGTGCTCTGCCCAGCTCAGCTGCTCCACGGTGCGAATTTCATTCACGTCAAGGCCCCACGCACCCGGAGCCACCTTCAGAAAAGTCTACTGAAGCCCTGGCCAGTTTGGCTCAGCGGTTAGAGCGTCGGCCTGCGGTCCGGAGAGACCCGGGTTCGGTTCCCGCTAAGGGCACGTACTTCGGTTGCAGTTTTTCCCCGGCCCTGGTTGGTCGTGCGGGTGGCAGCCACTCAATGTGTCCCTTCACGTCGATGTTTCTCTCTCTCTCTCCCTTCCTCTCTCTCCCTCCCACTCTATCTGTACAAAAAATGGAAAAATATCCTCGGGTGAGGATTAAAAAAAAAAGAAAAGTCTACTGAAGGGAGCTGAGTGTCAGGGCATCTCATTCTCACCTCGATGTGGCACTGAGGGCTACATCATCGCGCCCTGTGGTCCTTCCCCAGTGGCCGGAGACACACCCGCTGCCCCAGAATGGTCCGAGGATGCTGAGGCTCACTGATCACTGGGGAGAGGACAGCTTCAACTCCATAGTTAGAGGACACGTGCAGCTGGACTTCTGGCCCGAGCAGGGGTCTGGTCCCAGCCCACCCACCTTGCCACGGGGAGGCACTGCCCTTGAAGGCTGACGTGGCACCTCTCAGTGGTTCTGCCACAGAACCAAGCAGCTGGAAAGTCGCAGAGTCGGGAACTGCAAACGGAGGCCCTGGGCGGGATCTGGGACCCGAGGGGTCTCGACTGGCTGCCGAGAGCCGAGTCTTCCCAGTTCCACGTACCCACTGTCCGCCGCCGTGTCCCCCGGGAGTCGGCCTTCTTTCATGAAGGCACGAGAGTTCGCTGCTCCTGGTCTGGTCCAAGTCTTCACGGTGCAGGGAGAGAGGGGACAAAGACTGAGAGAGGCCCAGACCCGCGAAGGGGTTCCCCTGAGCCCCGGGAGGAGCGAGTACCAGGCAGACCTCCGTGAGTGACCGAGTCAGGAAGGGGTGAACCTTGGCGTCTCCCGGGAGGGGAGAGGGAGTTCCCTCGGGAGGAGGGAAGCAACTTCCAGTGAGTTTCCCTCTGTGTCAGGACTCCATGCTGGACTCGTGGGTCTGTTTATTAATAATTACCTAATTGGGGAGGTGGTAGGCGGCGCTGATAAGTGTCTTCAATCTTCCTGGGCTTGATAAACCCAAGTCACATTCCTGGGCCACCTCCAGAGCCGAGACAGCTGCACGGAGACCACTCCTGAACGACTGAGCGGTGAGTAGCCCCCTGAGAGCCCCATGGAGGCTCCGAGGGAGGACCGGGGGACTCGAGGCCTCCAGGGCCCTGTGGACGGAACATCCAGACCCGTAGAACAATTTTATCAGGGTTTATTAGGATGTATTTGAGTCAAACGGACATCTGGAAGCGCGAGGTCAGGGACTGAGAAAATGCTTCCGAGAATGGCAGTTTGCAGCTTCTCTTATGCCTCTGGAGCTCAGCAGGGTGAGGAGGGTGCCGTGCAGGTGAGAGGGAGCGAGGCAGGGGTCGGCTGCACAGTAGTTCCTGGGATCCTACGCTCTCCAGGGGTCTCAGAGAGCGGGCTGCAGAGACGCACCCGCAGGTGTGTTAACCTGGTGCACTGAAAAGTGCAGGGCTCTGGGGCAAAGGTCAACCTTTCACTGAGAAGTGATGTGGCTGGGACCTGACTACCCGTCGTCACCTGCCCAGGTAGGTCAGGTCACCCTGCGAAATCCCTTTCTTTTTTTATCCTCACCCGAGGACATTTTTCGATATTTTGTTCAGATAGAGTGGGAGGGAGAGAGAGAGAAACATCGATGTGAGAGAGACACATCGAGTGGTTGCCTCCCACACGACCCCAACCAGGCTGGGGACAAACTGCAACCGAGGTACGTGCCCTTAGCGGGAACCAAACCTGGGTCTCTCCAGACCGCAGGCCGACGCTCTAACCGCTGAGCCAAAGCGGCCAGGGCCGGAATCCCTTTCTGTCACTGGACTTGCAGTGTGTGTGTAGCACGCTTTCTTTGCCTACAGCTACAACTAAGAAAGTCCTGGGAAAACCGGGACAGGTGACAAATCCTGAGGCTGAAAGGACCCTGACGCACAGGCACAATCCCCCTCCCTGCACCACGGGGGGAGCGGGTGCCCGGACCCCGAAACAGCCTCCCCGGCTGCACACACCCGGGCCCAGGTCTGCGGGCTCCGAAGCTGGTGTCCTTGGAGAGCCCCGCAGGGGTGGTGCTGGGTCACCACACTGTGCAGCCCTGCAGAGTATTCGAGAGTTGGGGGCCGGGGAGAAGTTATTATGGGTTGCTAGGAAGTCAGGTTGGGTGGAGGGTGCTGAGTAGGTGAACCCACAAAGTGGTTCAATGTGGGTTTTGAAATGATACCTACAGCTGAGTGGAAAACAGAGCAGAGACCAGTTAGGGAGCTACTGAGGGGGTCCAGGTCGGGGTCCGACCTGGCCCACCACCTACTTTTGCATTGCCTGTGAGCTAAGAACCGAAGATATAGGATGTAAATATAAAAGTTGTGAATGGTTGAGAAAATCAGAAGAAGGACATCGTTTGGTGACATAGTAAAAGTAGGTGAAATGCAGGTTCCAGTGCCTGTGGGTCAATTTTACTGGAGTATGGCCTTGGCCATGGTGCGTGTCCCGTCTGTGGCCGGTTCCAGCTGGCACCGCGGAGTTGGACAGACACGACAGCGACTGCGAGGCCCACAGAGCCCGGGGCACTGACTCTCTGGCCCCTAGCAGGAGAAGTTCCCTGACCCTGCTCTCGGTGAAAGGGGCCGAAGACTTGAACGAGGGTCATGGCAGTGGAGGGGCGCACAGGTTGAAGGAAGAAGCTGTGGGGCGTGCTGCTGGGTTAGGGTGGGGTGGCTGGGCCGCCAGACTGATGTTGGAGATTACAACGGGGTTTGGGGGCTGAGAACCAGGGAATACAGGGCCACTGGAGGGGGCAGGACGGAGTTGGCGGTAAAAAGCAGGCATCCTGTTTCGGAGAGGCTAATCTCATTAGGAGAAGGAACCAATCCTCTCCCTGTGACTTTGAGCAAACCATTAATTCAGCATCACGGTCTTATCTATGTGGGGAGATAAAGCCCCGGGTTCGGTTCCCGCTAAGGGCGCGTACCTCAATTGCAGTTTGTCCCTGGCCCTAGTTGGTTGTGCAGGTGGCAGCCACTCGATGTGTCCCTTTCATGTTGATGTTTCTCTCTCTCTCTCTCTTCCTCCCACTTTACCTGAACAAAAAATGGAAAAAAATAAACTCGGGTGAGGATAAATAAATAAATAAATAAAAGAAGGCTGTTTTACTGACCTCGACCCGGATAAGGTCGTGCAAAGTAGCATAAAAGTGATTTTGTAAACGGTGAAGGAGGTGTGTGGAGTAGGTACTAAAATAACCTTTGGTGATTAGCACCCGTGGTGCGGAGTCTCTGGGCTAAGGAAAGAAAGTCCCATGGTGGAAGGTGCCCCAGGCTGAGTCTGCAGACTTGGGTGGCTTGGCTAAGTCCCTTTGTGAGCCCCTGGTTTTCTGTCCCTGGGTCAGTGCCATGCAGCGCTCACAGAGATGGGAAACGAAATGGGCATGAGGAGCGTGCCAGAGGACAGCACTGTCACCGCCACGTGGCGGGCGCTGGGTGTTTGCTAGCCTGGACTAAGTCCACCTGTAGGAGTCGGCGGGGCCCTGCTCCCAGCCTGACTTCTCAGGAGGGTTTGGAATCTCCTGGACACTCTCTTTCCTCCTGTAGACCCCAAATCGCAGAAGATGCAGCTTGTAGACCACCTGCTCCTCCTCCTGGTTGGACTACTGGCCCTTTCTCATGATGGCCAAAGTCAGACCGACGGCCACCAACAGGAGGATCCAGGCACAGGTGAGGGCTCCCCCAGCCTCAAGATCGCCCCGAGCAACACAGCCTTTGCCTTCAGCTTCTACCACCTGATAGCTTCCCAAAACCCCGAGAGCAACATCTTCTTCTCCCCGCTGAGCATCTCTACTGCCTATGCCATGCTGTCCCTGGGGGCCCGCTCAGACACCTGGACCCAGATCCTCGAGGGTCTGGGCTTCAACCTCACAGAGGTGTCAGAGTCTGACATCCACCAGGGCTTCCAACACCTGCTGCAGACTCTCAACCTCCCGCATGACAACCTGGAGACCCGAGTAGGCAATGCCCTCTTCCTGAGCCAGGACCTCACGCTCCTGCCGAGGTTCCTGAACGACACCATGGCCTTCTATAAGTCCACGCCTTTCCGCTCCAACTTCCTCGACCCTGAGGGCACAGCCCAGCTTATCAACAACCACGTCAAGGAGGAGACTCGAGGGAAGATTGAGAACTTGGTCAGCGGGCTGAGCACGGACACAGTGATGGTGCTGGTGAATTACATTTACTTCAAAGGTAAGGGCTGATTTGTTGATAGATCCTGTAGCTCCCCTCCCCGCCACTAATTTTTTGATGAATTAAATACTTTTAATAAAAGAAAGTGGATGGATTGGGTCTGACAGGGTCAAGCACCCCTTAGAAGACCTAGAGTTAGTGTCAGATATTTAAGATTGTATAGTGTTGAGGTTTCCATCTCTTCATAGCTTTGGACATATTGTTCTTATCCATTCTCTTAATAACAGTAATGTATGAAATGCGTTACATCCGAGGATCACAAGTTGAACTGCTTAATTTACACTGAAGTTCTGCCACTTCCAACAGTGTAAGCAGGGCAGGTCGTTTTCTTGAAGTAAGGATAAGACTCCCGACTTCAAAGTGTTTTGTGTTTTTTTGAGGATAAAATGATGTCACATGTTTGTATATACTGTAGAAAAGGGCCAAAGGGATTGGCAGACTTCAGCCCCCAGCCAAATCTGATTGGTCATCTGTTTTTGCCAATGAAGTTATATTGGCACACAGCCCCATTTACTCATTTACATATTGCCCCTGGCTGCTCCCATACACACAGCGATAAGCATTTACTGTAGAGACAGACCTGCAAAGCCTAAAATATTTACTTTCTGGGCCTTTGCAAAGGGAGTTCACCTGACCCCTGACCATTATATACACTCAAAAAAATCATTATAGTGATTATAATTACTCTAATGATAATGGTGCTCATTTTGAAAACCTTAAAAAACATGTCAAAGAGAAAATAGAAACTGACTATAACTTTACCACCCTGAGGCAACCAACGTTACCATTTCTGCATAATTCTTTCCGTTCTGTGGTTCACACATGTGTGTTAACACAGTTGAAACCAGTGTGGGGAGACTTTTGTGCAGAGTGTATCAGTTGGGTTCGTCAGTGGAGCAGAGACACCAGAGCCTTAAGGGGAAGGGGCAATGACAGGAATTAGACCTTGCATGGTTGTGGGAGGGGTGGGGAAGTGAAGGTCTGGAGGGAGAGGGAGGTGAAGGGACAGAGAAAAAGCCACTGAAACAGGTGACAAGTTAGAGCTCATCAGGAATCTCTGGACCAGGCACACCCAGCTAGCAGAGGGGTCTCATTTTGAGGAAACCTATGAGGGGACTCAGGCCGGGCCGCTGGGGTTGGTTTGGGACACTGCCGGTCAGCAGGGCTGGAGTTGGGACAACACACCTGGAGGAGGGCGCAGATCAGCTGGAGCACACAGGGTGTCTCTGCACCTGATCCTTCTCCAGTCTGCCCGTGAAGACCTTCACACCTACACCCTACGCTCACACTTGGCACCAGCTTGAACCGGAATCAATAGACTAACAATCCAGCCCAATTGGCCATCCCTTGCATTTTCCATGAGGAATTTTCATGCACCACTGAAAACTTATAAAAGAACATTTTAAATTCTGCAACAGCTGTAAATTCACAGGAAGTTGCAAAAGCAGTATAGAGTTCCACGTACCCTTTACCCAGATTCCCCGACGTAACGTCTTACCTACAATAGCAAAACCAGAAAATTGATGTGGGTGCAACCTCCAGACTTGATTCAGATTTTACCGGTTTTTGCATGCGCACGTGTGGTTTTATGCCGTGGAAAACTTTATTCAGATCTCATTGTAGTGGCTGCACAACATTCTACTGACGCTAGTCCTTTTCAAACGTAATTTAAATGTATTGTATATGCCATCACCCCCACCAAAGCTCTGGCCAGAAATAATGAAGCTTTTTGATGCTCTCTTTCTGAAAGAGACCTAGTTCCAACTGGGTTAGTGTCCTTGGCAAAATAAAGAGAAGTTCTCCGTAAATAGAAGCGAAATAGACACATCCTGCCTTCTGACATGTGCCCAGCACTCTGGGGAAGCAAATGCAGCTGCAAGTCCTCAATGTAGGTCCTTTGGTGAGGGCAGTGGGACAACTGTGTCTCATCTTCAAAGATGCAAAGTACCTAGAGGAACCCAAACCAAAGTTGTGTGTGATCTCTGTTGATAAGATGATATTGAGAGACAGTAAAGTAGACTTGAATAAAAACAGATGAACTGCATTCATGAAGAGGACGGTAAAGATGTCCATTTCTCCCCCACCCAATGAAAGTAAATATTTAATTTAGCCCAGCTGGTGTGGCTCAGTGGTTGAGCGTCGACCCATGCACCAAGAGGTCGCCGGTTCGATTCCCTGTCAGGGCACATGCCCAGGTTGTGGGCCCGATCCCCAGTGGGGGGCATGCAGGAGGCGGCCAATTGATGTTCTCTCTCATGGATGTTTCTATCGCTTTCTCCCTCTCCCTTCTTTTCTCTTTAAAATCAATAAGGAAAAATGTTTAAAAAAAATTTAATGTAATCCCAATCAAAATCCTAATTTTTTTTTTCCTTTTGGTGGCAGTTAACAAGCTGATTTAAAAATGTATATATGAGAGCCCTGGCGGATTTAGCTCAGCGGTTAGAGCGTCAGCCCACAGACCAGAGTCCCAGCTTCGGTTCCTGCCAAGGGCACGTACCTCGGTTGCGGTTTGTCCCCGGGCCCGGTTGAGGTCGTGTGAATGGCAACCACTTGATGTGTCTCTCTCACATCGATGTTTCTCTCTCTCTCTTCCTCTCTCTCTCCCTCCTGCTCTATCTGAAGATAAATGCAAATATGTCCTCGGATGAGGACTAAAAATAAAAATAAAATGTCTATGAGAGTACAAAGGGCCAAGAACAGCTAAGATGAGAAAATATGCTTGCCCGAGAGCGAGACTTACTGTGACTCTGTGTTAATTTAGACCGTGGGGTACAAATGGGCCAAGGGAGCAGAGTAGAGGGAGGCCCGCCCCTGTACATGTGAACATTCGATATTAGTCGAAGCATGAAGGGGCATTGACTCCAAGTCAAATAGAGTCTTAAATGCAAAAGGTAAGCCCAAAGCTTCCTCGAGGTCCGGTAGGCAAGCACCCTCACGAACTTGGGGTAGGGAACGTGTTCTAACCAGGACACGGAGACCTAGCCCTAAGGGAAGGGCTGCCGTGTTCACCGCGCTCAAGGTAAGGACTCCCACCCCAGAAGCAGAGCGTGGGAAGAGCAGTCGGCAAGGGGAGACGGCGTTTGGGACTCACGTAACTGACGGACGGCTAGTACTCAGAAAGAACCCCTCGCGCCACGAAGAAACAGCCCTATAGAAATAGAGGTTTAAAACCAAACGAACTGGCACTGAACTAAAAACAGAGGACATCTAGATGGTCACACAGAAGGTTACTGAGCCTCGTTTTTTGTTTTGTTTTTAATTCTCACCCGAGGATATTTTTCCATTTTTGTTCAGATAGAGTGGGAGAGAGAAAGAGAGAGAGAGAGAGAGAGAGAGAGAGAGAGAGAGAGAGAGAAACATCGACATGAGAGAGACACATCGACTGGTTGCCTCCCGCATGACCCTGACCAGGGCCGAGGATGAATTGCAACGGAGGTAAATGCCCTTGACCAGAATCGAACCCGCGACTTGTTGGTCCATGGGCTGACGCTCCAATGGCTGAGCCAAACTGGCCAGGGCTCAACCTTGCTTTTAACCAAGAAAGTGCACGTCAGGAGCACAGGACACGTGCTCTATGCCAAGTGTCGGGTTGGCACAAAATGTAAGTGCCAACAATTGCAAGGAATTGGTGAAGACATGAAACAACTTTGCTGATATCCTCTGTTACCTCCCATTCCGGTTCTAAGTGAGCCCTGGGAGGTCTTCCTCAGGCACAGCAGGTTGTGAATGACCTAGACCCTTCCACTGGTGAGCTGGGAAGGTGGGGCTCCGGAGCGACTGCAGGGGCCGCTCCTGGGCTGGAGGATCGGCCTGTGGGTCCCCGGACACCCTGCGCCTCTTTCCTCGCCCTGCAGGTCGGTGGGCGAAGCCGTTCAGCCCCTCGAAGAGCGCTCCTCAAGACTTCCACGTTGACGAGAACACGGTGGTCAAGGTGCCGATGATGTTTCAGGACAAGAACCGCCACTGGTACCTGCATGACAGATACGTGCCCTGCTCGGTGCTCAGGATGGACTACTTGGGGAACGCCAAGGCCTTTTTTATCCTTCCCGACAAAGGCAAAATGAAGCAGGTGGAGGAGGTTCTGACCCCAGACATGCTAACCAGGTGGAACAACATGCTCCAGAAGAGGTAATCTGGTGCCACACGGGGCTGAGTGGGCAGCGCTGCCCTTCAGATGGACCCTTCTGATGACAACCAGTGTCCAAAGCAGGGGGTCGGTGCCAAATTATGGAAGAGTTCTTATTTGCTCTAAGACTTTCCATGGGTTTCCTTAAATAACGAACTCTTGTATTGCACCCGAAATGTGATGTTGCCCTCATCAGGGAAGAGAGAAGCAGGCTGGGGTGGCGAGTCCTAGTTCCAGCTCTAGCCCTTGAATGCACAGGCCTTGGGTGAGGTAGCACCAGCCCTGGAGGATCCACTCCTGTAGGATGGAGGGGGGGCTCCTCCTCTGGTCAAGACGGCTGGCCAGGGCTTCGAGGGGCATAGGAGACGCCAACCTCCCACCGCAGCAAGTAGCAAGCACGTTTCATATCACCCTGGGGCCACGAGGGGGTGAAAAGTCTCCAACCACGTGTGAGTCAAGGACTTCCACCTGAGGCCACGGGTGGATGGTGGCACAGCAATTCGACCCAAAGACGTGGAAGCCACAGGGCCCCAGTGGAGGCCAAGGCGAGACTGCCACACAGGGGGACTTGCATCTCCCTGGGCACCTGGCACGCCCACAGGAAGCAGCCTCTGCTGAAAATGAGCCCCCGAGGAGGCGGGGGGGCAGGCAACAGTCCCCAGAGCAAAAAAGCCTGGCCTTAGGCCACTGGGAACGCAGGGGCGAAGGACAGTGAGAGCAGGTGGGTGTGTTTGGTGACCCGACGGGTGCAGTAGACCCAGCTGGAGCAGCCACTCAGCCTGGCTGTGACCGGCCCCCGGCTGGTGCGTAAGTCCCATGTTTCACCCTGTGCCTCTTTCAGTTCTTTCTACAGGAAGCTGGAGTTGTATTTCCCCAAGTTCTCCATTTCTGGCTCCTATAGCTTAGATCAGACTTTGCCCCAGCTGGGCATCAGGGACCTGTTTTCGTGGCAGGCTAACTTGTCTGGCATCACCACCCAGAAGAATCTGCTGGTGTCCAAGGTAAGTCGCCAGTGATCCTCAACACCTAGAGACCTCAGTGGGAACTTCTGCCCCTCGGGAATTGCTGCTGGGCGGGGGGTGCTCTCCCTGCCACCCCTTGGTCTCGGAGCCTGAGTCTGTTCAATCATCCACGGGCAGGGACATCCAGGGACCAGCCTCCCACGTGCTAAGAGGGCGCTCGGTGCTGTGGATACAGGCTCCACCCAGGCCCTGTCCTTGGCGCTCCAGTCATGCCTTCATAGATCACAGCGATGGCGAGGGACACCTTCACAGGAACAGGAAGGGTGCGGAGGAGGCTGGGAGGGGCCCATGGTATCAGAGGCATGTCTTAGACAGAGAAAGGCACCTGTGTCTTCAGCTGAGACGAAAGTGCACTGGGGGCAGAGCCTTGGGTTCGAGAGCTTGAATTCTAGTTCTGCCCTTAGGACACTGCAGGGTTACCTAGTCTCAAACGTGTCTGCCTCGGAGGCTGGTTTTGGAGGTCAGAAAGAGCCCTGGAGACAGAAGGGCTCAGTTAATGATGGTGTCGTTGTTGTATTAATAAGAGGTCATCCGGCTCCGCCACCCACCTGGCGTAGGAATCCCCCTGTGAGATCCCCGGCACTGGGTGCGGGGACTCCGGGCCCCCCGTCTGCCCTCCGCGCTCACTCGTGATTCCCCCCAGAGCTTCCACAAGGCCGTCCTGGACGTCGATGAGGCGGGCACCGAGGCTGCGGCGGCCACCAGCGTCTCCTCCAGCCTTCTGTCCGCCTACCACAGCCGCCAGGTCCTTCGGTTCAACCGGCCCTTCATTGTGGTGATCTTCTCCACGGACACCCAGAGCATCCTCTTCCTCGGCAAGGTTGTGCACCCCACGAAGCCGTAGCCCTGGGGCGGCGGTCTGCAGGGGGCGCGGAAGGTGATGAGAGTCCAGGCAGAAGCTGTGGGTGACAACAGGGAGGGGTGTGGGTGGTACCCGCTGGGAGTGGACTGGACATTCAGCTCCCCAGGGCTGTGCAACCTCGGGCACATCATGTAATCTGCCCCGGAAAGTGGGAGACACCCTCCCAGGGTGGTGTGTGAATTAAACAAGCTGAGAGCTGGTTCGGCGTCGTGTCCCTAGCGAATACCTGATGAATGGGTGCCTTTCCGTCCCTCTGGGGCGGCCTATGCTCCCCGACACGGGGGGAGGGGAGAGGGGGGGCGCTCCCAGGTCCAGTGGGTTGGGAGGTGTCTGTGGAAGAAGGACGCGGTGTGGGTGGCCAGACCCCCGGCAGGGTGGGTTCCGTGTTCGGAGTGGGGGTGCAGAGGGCCTTGGCCGGATAATGCCAACCAAGGAGCTGCCACGGAGCCCTGGTCAGGAAGGCTCAGAGGGGCGCGCAGCGCGTGGGAGGCACAGGCTCCGCCCCTGCCTGTGGCCATGGATGTGGCCTGTCTTTCCCCCAGAGAAGGTGACCATGGACATGGGGTGCACTGCGGAGAAGAAAGAGCATGGGGTTCGAGTCCAGAGGCTTGTTTTCATGATGTGCTCTGGGGCTTAGGGCAAATCCCCTCCCCTTTTAGGCCTCAGTTTCCCCACCTGGGTAATCTGGGCTGGCCCAGATGATCCAGCTCAGGCTGTCGCTGAGTATGTGGGACCAACTGTGTGAGGAGGGTCCGCCCGGAAGCCAGGAGAACAAACCTGTGCCCCTCCCACACGCGAAGGCAGATGGACTCCACCTGGCTGTGTGTGTCCTGACCCTTAGCAAGTTCCAGCAAATACGTGTCTCTGAGCAGGGCCCTGTGGGTGTTCTTGATGGGCATTGCATCAGAGACAGGAGGTGTCAATGTCACAAAGCCAGAGTGTTCACTGGTGAGTCAGGAGAGTGTGCTGAGAGCCACGTCCAGCACTGATGATTGTCCGTGACTCGGTCCCGGAACCAAACAATGCCACCGCTTTCAGAACAGGCTCGTTGTGGGAAACCAGTACACCCAGCAAGAGACAGACCACTTATTGAGGGTGTAAAGAGGGGAGAGGAGGGGGAGGACTCTGGGGTTCTTTCCCTTCCTGCCTCTAAAACAAAGCCCTGAGCTGGGACTGGGCAGCCTCCGGAGATGCCCATGGAGGTGCTCCCCAGCGGGCACCATTCCGCTCACTGCACCAGCTCTGGCTGCGTGGACAGAGACCAGGGAAAGTTCAAGACCCCGGGCCCTCCAAGGCTCAAAGGAACACACACCTTTCCTTCCCCTCCCTGGGTTTATTGGCTGAAAAGCAAGAATGTAACTGCAAATATCAGTCCATTTCCTCCTGTCCCTGCTGGATTGCGGTTTGTAACAGCCAGGCAAGAAATAAAGTCAGGCTGACTGGCTCTCAACTTTGTCCTGCAGAGGCAGGTGGGTGGGCGGATTGAAGCGTCCCAGGTGAGCCAGAAAGAGGTCACAGGCCTAGGGTTCCAATGTCACTGCTGGGGTGATGTGTGAAGGTGAAACCCTGGTGCCATGAAGGGGAAAAAGGGGGTAACAGTCACCCCTCAGTTCAGCCTCGAGAGTGATGCCTTCTTATTCTGATCGGGCTTATCTCTCCCCCGTTCAAAAGTACTCGATGGTCCCCTAGTGCCTACAAGTTAAAGTTCAAACTCCTCTATCTGCAGTCAAGGCCCCCCTGAGCTGGCCCTGCCTGTCTCTCCTGCCTCGTGTATCCAGTGACTTCAGCCACGGAAAGTCTTGCTGTTCTCCCAAGTTACCCACAGTTCCCGCCTTCTAGGCCTTTGCTCCTACATGCCCCTATTACCCAGAATGCTCCATTCCAGTCTCTGAGAACCTGCTTTCTGCCAGGATCTCCCATTAACATCTCATATCTCCGGCCGATGTGGCTCAGTGGTTGAGTATCGACCCTGCACCAAGAGGTCACCAGTTTGATTCCCGGTCAGGGCACATGCCCAGGTTGTGGGCCCGATCCCCAGTGGGGGGGGGGGAGGCCTGCAGGAGGCAGCCAACTGATGTTCTCTCTCATCCATGTCTCTCTCTCTCTCTCCTATCCTCTCTCTCTAAAATCAATAAAGGGGAAAAATGTATAAAACAACACCATCTTTTTCCTTAGGCAAACTGCCATCCTACCATCAGACATGGGTGGCTGGTATCAATCTCTGCCCCCACTCTTTGGCTCCTGGGGAGACGGGACATCTCGAAAACAGGTCCTGTCCACCCCACTGCTGGTCGTAGGGTCTGATGTGTGGCTGAGGCCCAGTGAATATTTGGTGAATAATTAATGCATCACTGAATGAATGAATGAATGAATGAATGGATGGATGAATGAATGAATGGAGCAGGCTGTGTCCCAGCAAGGTCACTGAGCTGTTTGCTCTGCATCATCCCTGAAAGGTCCCTGCAATTGATTGGGTCAATATTTAGTCCTGCTCCTCAGATTTCAAAATGCCCTTTTGGAACATGAGAAAAATAAATAAACGAAGAGACTTTGTGAGGGACACCTTGTCCCCTGAGAGCAGGGCCTGGGCCTCCTTCTTTCCCGTTGGCGGCTCTCCCACGTCTCTCTGATCTGGGGGCCTGTGTGATGACGCGGGGGGCACACTTCCTCGGGACAGCGCTGTGGCCGGAGGGCAGTGTGTTTGTGAGCTCCGAGGGCTCGGGACGCGGGAGGGCAGGGGGCAGTGTGTGTGCCCCCGGCATCAGCCGTGCGGGCGGGGGCCCCGCTGCCAGTGGAGGGCAGACGGCTGCAGGGCCCTCACCAGAGGGTATGTGGCAGGCACCCTGGGTTCACTGGGTTACTCGTTCTCCCGTTCAACAATACTTACTAGTGGGATTGGCCACCAGCTGGGTCTCCCCCGTGGAGGGAAGCACGCGGAGGGGACATCCGGAGTGAGACAGGAGGGCTGTGGTCCCAGCTTCTCCACTGGCCCTGTGCTGTGGGGCTGGCACTCCGTGTCCCTGGATCACACGTTCCTCACCTGTAAGAGGGCACAGAGCCCCGCGGCAGCTGTGGCCATGGAGAGAGGAGGAAGGATACGGGTCCCCTGCAGAGGCAGAGTGGGGCCCCCGCCTCTGGCTGAGGCCAGGAAGCAGTCCTTCTCCCCGGGGGGCGAAGCGAGGTGCCCCTCGGAGAAGGGGCGGGTCTGGGACCACAGCTCCCAGGCTCTGAGCACCTGTGATGAGACGGCACGGTGACAGGTGTGTCCAGAGTCACGGAGAGACCGCAGAGAACCGAGCACAGAGCCTGGGCTCTGGAGCCAGAATGCCCGGGTTTGACTCGGGACCCCTCCAATTCCTGAGGATGTTAGTTGGCGAGGGCTGTGGTAACGGCGCCTCCAATGGAGTGGCTCAGCACACAGAAGGCGTTGTCTCGCGGTTCTGGAGGCCCGACGTCCCAGATCAAGGCCTCAGCGGGGTTGGTTCCTTCTGAGGCGGAGGGGGAATCTGCCCCAGGCCTCAGCCCCCAGCCCCAGCCCCGGCAGTTCGCCAGGATCTTTGGCTTGTAGGTCTCTGCCTTCCTCTCCCATGGTGTTCTCCAGGGTGTGTGTCTTGTCCAAATGTCCCCTTTTTATAAGGACACCAGTCTTATTGGATTAGAGTCCACCCTACTCTAGAATGACCTCATCTTCACTAATGACATCAGCAGTGACCCCATTTCCAGATAGTCACCTTCTGAGGGCTTGGGGTTAAGACTTCAGTTGGGGAGCCTGGGGGGCACAGTTCAACCCATAACACAGTGTGGGACTTGGACCACCTCTCTGTGCCTCAGTTTCCTCACCTGTAAAATGGAGCTAGTAGTACCTAATCACAACCTGCTAGGCATGGTGCTCTTTGTTGCTCTTGATGTCACTGAACCCCACAATGGGACTGTATTTGGTGACAAAGACTTTAGGGAAGTAATTAAAGTTAAATGCGGTTATAAGGTGGAGCCCTAATCCTATAAGACTAGTGTCCTTATAAGATTGTTTCATCCTCCTCTTTCTCTTTTCTCCTCCTCCTTTCTCTCTTTTTTTAAAAAAGAATTTTTTTCCTTTATTGATTTTATAGAAAGAAGAAGGGAGAGGGAGAGAGAGAGAGAAACATTGATGAGAGAAGACATTGACTGGCGGCCTCCTGCACGCCCCCCACTGGGGATCGGGCCCACAACCTGGGCATGTGTCCTGACCTGGAATAGAACCCGTGACCTCTTGGTGCAGGGTCGATGCTCAACCACTGAGCCACACCGGCCGGACACTTCTCCTCTCCCTCCTCCTAGTTCTCTCTCTCTTTCCTCCTCCCCCTCCCCCCGCTTCCCTTCCCTGCGTCCTCAGAGAGGCCTTGTGAGAACACAGCACGCAGGTCCATCTACAGCCCGGAGAGACAGAGCTTCCCAGAAACCAGCCCTGACATGACCCTGATCCTGGGCTTCTAGCCTCCAGGACCGTGAGAAAGAAATCCCTCCGGTTCGGGGCGAGGGGCAGAGTGAAGAAACGGACCACAGTCACGCGGTCCGGCTGCCGAGGTTCTCCAGGCCGGTGGGTGAGGCTCCAGGAGACGATTCTGCTCCTGTTTTAACTGGCCCTGGAACTTGAACGTTTACACTCCAGTCCCGTGCCAGCGCCTGGATGCACATCAGATGTCCCCCTGGGGGCCGAGGACAGACGATCACAATCCAGATCGCCTGAAATTCCGCATCTGGTCACCTGCAGGCTAACTATGCAGGACCGGTTCTTCTCCAGAATGTGCTTTTTCCTATAAAAACCCTTAGCGTTTCTCCCTTTTTTGTAACACTCTGGGAATTGCCTCGTGTGTTTGCGGATCGAAAGCCCCAAGACCCTTGAATAAATCTTTATCACGTATGTGTAGCCAAAGCCTCCAGACTCTTTTCGAGTTTGTTCCACCGCCACCCAGCCTGTGGTTGTGTGTTCTGGTGGTCCTCGC